GATCTTTAGGTATTAGGAAGATAGGAAGAGATGGTGTTTAGGTATCGGACGACGTCGAAAGACGTTCTAAACCGATGTATCTATATAAATATATAATATATAAAGCCTGTAGAAACTTTTATGTAAGATCAAAATTTATTAATGTTTTTCAGCGACCGTTTTTTATGCACCTCTACATACAGTACATATTTACCTAGCTATTCCTTTTCGGGTCCGATAATTTATTATTTGGCATCTTTACCACCGTAGCCTCTTGCATTTTCGATACTTTATGTATATTGTTTTCTAGAGTTTCCTGTTTAAAAACAATATATTACAACGTTGTACTAAAATCATAAATTACATATACATTTCAAAAATCAATTTGTGGTCCGGTGTGGTTGGTGGCCAACTTTTTCATTTCTTTGTCCTTTTGTTTTTATCTATGTTTCTTTTGTAATAAAAGTCGTCGTTGGGAGGACGATAACAACTTTTTTATTGTTTCCACTTGTGTAATCGATTGGAAACTTAATGTAATAAATCGTTCTATGACGTTATGTCAATACGGTGTTCAAAACTGTAGTAAGCGATAAGAAAGTTAATGTCCTTTTTTTTTAGTTAAGAATTATGGTAATTTTTAAATGGTCGACGTTGTAGAAACTTTGTAAACAGGAATTTGCAGTGTTTTGTGACTTTTTATACTAGTAATGATCTTCAAATAAATTACAGGGTGTTTTAAAAGCGTATGTCATAAATTAAATTACGCATTCCGGGGACAAAAATAAATTGATTGAATCCAAATTACCTTAGTACAAAAGTGTACACAAAAAAAGTTACAGCCTTTTGAAGTTACAAAATAAAAATTGTTTTTTTGGAAAAATGGGCATGTAACTTTCTTGTTCTGAAAGCATTTTTCATACAAAAGAAAAAACAAAATGTAAGCTTACAGAAAAATTTTAAGGTGGGTGTGCAGCACTAAATCCCCCAAACTTTTGAGTACGTTCAAATCAAATGAATTCACATTATTTTTAAAACTTTTTTACCTCGTATCACTTTTTCGAAAAACTAGTTTTTTCCTAGTTGGCCATAAAATTACAATTACTTTCTACAGATACAATAATTACAAACAGTTCCTTCAATAATAGTCAATAATTTGAAGCTATCATTTATTGTGTGAATAAGATTAATATTAAAAATTTTGATATTACAATGACCTACACATTTCAGGAAATGGCAGATATGCATTTAACTTTGGGTAAGTTGGATCAGAATAAATTATGATTTCAATAAAATATCGGGAATATCGTAGGTGAATGTTAAGGAAATAATGCAGCAGTCACAAGGCGTTATGCAGTACAATACCCCACTCGAAATACACCGGATAGACGATTATTTCTGACCATTGATCGTCATTTACGGGAAACAGGTGCATTCCAACCGCAAGTTGCTGACAGTAGTGGTCGTCCAATAACGGATGCAACTGATGAAGACATTTTAGAAATCATTGAAGAAGTCCCTGGAACAAGTACAAGGGTAATAGCTGCTCAACTAAATGTTCCTCATGTAAGGGTTTGGAGACGTTTGAAGGATCAGCTGCTTAAACCCTATCACTTAACAACGGTTCAAGAGTTATTGGTTGAAGATTATCCCAAAAGGATTGGATTTTGCAATTGGTTGTTAATGGAAAACACTAGAAACGTCAGTTTTGTTATAAATGTAGAAAATATTATAAATGTCTGGTTAATTTATTTAAATCGTAAACAAAGAAACAAAATATATTACAGTAAATAAAAACACAAATCGATTAGCATAACTCATAAATCATTATTAATTCAAAAGAAACTAACTTATTGTTTTTGAAATATTGTAAATGGCAGGTAGCAAGGAGAACATCGACGGCTAAAGAACAACGGCGGGAAGAAATAATTTCTTCGAAGCTAAACTACTGTTGATGCTCGCGTCACGAGTTCATTCTTGATTTTGCCCTCTTCGTAGATAAAAATCGCTCTTTACATAGAGGTGATGCAGGACGAGTAATACAGGCCAAATTCCACTGGAAATATTTGGAACGTCTAGTGCACCATAATGAATTATATTATTTAGTATTTAAAGCTGTTACTCTTTATACAAAATTGCATAATATATGTATCCCCCCTCAAGAAATTGATCTAAAAAAACTTTATTTTGAGCATTCTGGGGTAATTATTATTCATCAGTGGTTCTTAGGCTTAATAAAAATATCTTCTTCTTAAGCTGTCTTCTTCAATACTGAAGATTGGCTATAACTACAGCAAATTGCGATCTATTTTGAGCTGTTCTCAGTATCGAATGTGTGTCCATACCTGTCCAGTCTTTTACATTCTTCAACCAGGAGCATTTTCTTCTTCCTGGACCTCTTCTTCCTTCCACTTTCCCTTCCATTATAAGTCGTTGGAAGTTGTATTTTTCTCCTCTGTAAATATGTCCTAGATAACTCGTTTTTCTCATTTTTACAATATTTAGGAGTTCTCTCTCAGTACCCATTCTTCTTAGCACCTCGTTGTTGGTCACATGCTCTGTCCAAAAGATATTCAGAATCCTTCGAAAAACCCACATCTCAAAGGCTTCTATACGCCTCATACTTGTTATTCCAAGAGTCCATGTTTCCACTCCGTATAGCAATACGGGTATAGTCAATTATAACGTGGGGATATAAAAATAATAAATTAGCATTTAAATACAGTCATATGTTAAAAATATTAAGAATATAAAATACTCACGTAAACACTAATCACTTTCCCAAAGACTGATATTTCTATTTATTTTCTATTTCAATAATTTGTAGCTTTTTGTGGTTTCTTTAGATATTTTCTTCCTGTTTTGTTCTGTTGCTTAATAATTAAAAAGAAATTATTAAAAATAAAAATATTGATTATTGTTGCGTTCTGCACATACGATGACCTCAATATAACAATTGGGGTCATCAGAAAGGGGAGAGAATATATTATGTTCAATCATGAACTCGCTGGTTTCTCCCTTTCGCATTAGGTATGTAAATCCCCATTGAAAAATAATAAACAAGTAGACTATATAAACTCTATTAAAAAAAGGAAAATTAAATATGAATATATATATATATATATATATATATATAATATATATATATATATACAATTATAACTAAACAAAAATATCTGGATGTAAGATGTCGATGAATAGGTTTTGAAAACACATTAACAACAAAGGAATTTGAGATTTCGATTGCTACGGTTGTGTATGTTAAGAAATAACGCATAAATTATTATATATTAGACGGTAAAGAGTTAAAAATATGCGCACATACATATAAAAACGATATACATACAAAAAAAATAATAGTGAAATTATTGCAATCTAATAAATATACAAATCTACGATAAAGGTAATAACGTTTAACCAAATGTAAAATGTTCTCAAACGGTTAAAATGTTTAACAAGCGATGTGAAATCGCGTGTTAATTTGAAATAATGTGACATATAGTTTAGCGCAAACAATTTCAACTTGTCAAATAATTGAATAATAATGTAACGTTTCTACACAGTTAACGTACGTGTTGCAATGGTTTATATCAGTTGTACTTTATCATGCAACATGAAGAAGCACTAGAACTGTCTTTTTTACAAGTCCGAGGCGAAGTCCCCTAGGAAGTGCTGCTATTAACCCATGCACATGTGTGTTGGTTGGAAGATAAAACTCGACTTGCTTACAAGACTGAAGCGAATTGTGTCAGGTCGTAACTCAAACGCACGTCTGTCTCATATGGCACATGAAACTCGTCTCTTATCTCATTCTTATCTCAAATGCACGTCTGTGTCATATGGCTTGTGTCGTAATAAGTAGTTTTTAACACAGCTGTATTTTTGTACACGGAATCTTGAATTACGGGAAGAATCAAAACTACCATAAAGTCTGTTAATATTTTATAAATGTTTATATATCGTTGCGATCCTGCAATAATAATAATCACGATAAAAATTACCCAGTATCAAGCTTATAAATATGTCAAGTAAATTTAATTGTTAACATTACTTTTATTAAATTTGCGATATTTTGTTAAAATCTAAATCCCTCTTTGACTTATATCTTAGCTAATACTCGCTTCTTAAATAAAATTTAATGTCTTCACTTAACTTCTGGTAATCTCAACGATTTTCTAAATGATCTAAAATTTTAAACCATTACTTCCTCCATTCAACAAATCTCCCTTTTTATTCCTTGCTTGGACGACCGTCAGGCGGCAACAACACTTGTAAAATATTATATCTGACAATTTTATTTTATTTGCATGTCGGACCGAAAGTACTTTAATTTATTCTACCCCATCGCTATCACAACATAGTTATCTCCTTCTTTTACACAGAAATAAATAAAGAAGGAAAATAAGTTACGAAGAGGAGTTGGGTTTAGTTTTTTGACTTTTGATTAATATAGGTGAAGCGTTAGCCCGAGAAATTTTAGTGATTATAAAAGTTTTCAAAGAGTTGTAGAAGGAATGTTGTTTGTAGTTTTAAAATAGATTAGCGTTATAAATATTCATTTAATAAGAGGTTCTAAGTTAAGGAAACAAACAGCACAAATATTTCAGTAAAATACTAAAGTATGTACTTATTATGAAAAGTTTCTGACAAACTTCTGCTAAAACAAGAAAGTAATTGTGTAAAATTTGTTTAGTAAAAGAAAGCACACAAAATATTTAAATGTTACTGAAATGTTATTTAAATGTTAGAAACTGAGTATTTCTAAGAATTTTATTAAGAAAATTATACAGACCCATAAGAATACACATATAAAATAGAGAAAGAAGAAATAGAAAACCACGAAAAATACTACTAACAAAAATGCTCTAAGTTCGATGTAATAGAGAAAGAAAGATATGGCATAAGTGGGAAGAACGATTTAAGTCACAGCACGCAGATGAAACAACGATCAGGGTCCTAAGAATATGGTGGTGGACGCATCACAGTCAGGTAACGAGTTTGAAAGTGGCTAAAGTAAAGTTCTAATGGAGGTGGAAGTTGTCGTTTCAAAAACAACAAAGAAGAGAAAAAGTTATGGCCGTGTAAAAGATGTCATGAAAAAAATTAGGCCTAATAGTCATACTACAGGTAAAGACTGCAAATTCCACAGATTAAAATGCTTTGAAAATAGTTTATTAGATTGTAGACTAAGAATAATAAGACAGTTTAATGAACTGAATTCGTATGATAAACAAAATAGCTACTTGGGAGGTCTTGTTAAAGCTGTACCAGTGCAAAGCCGTAGGAGCAGAAAACCACACGAGGAGACAAAGATTAACCAGAGTTGATTTGTGTACAGGATTAGAGTAAAAAGTAATGACGGTTTTGGGTGACGAACCTGTCTGTATTAAAGCTTTTATTTCTATTCACGGGGTTACTTCCCAAAGAATTCAAACAATTAGAGAATCGTTGGCTTCTAATGACACTGTAAAACCAGATGAAAGGGGTAAGCATAATAACAGGCCCCACCAATTAAGTGACGAAACTAAACTTTGTCAATTCATTTCTTGAATAACTAAAGGATAGAAAGTCACATTTTTCTCTAAAAGACACTGATAAATGCAAAAATCTGAATGAAAAATGTGATTTCAATAACAAAGATGCAATTTGTTACTTTTATCCCTCTAAAACCGTGCCTCATAGGGGGGGAAACGGTAAACATAGATTTGCAAAGAATGTGTAAACCGGCGCCATAGAAAAAAATATACTAAACAAAAAATGCAGCGGAGATAATTTTTAACAAACATGTTTATTACCACTTTTTCTGTTGAAAGAACCGATCTCTCAGAAATAACGCTTGAAGCGAAGCATGGTGGCGAGCAAATCACTAGTTATTTATTTAAAACAATAAATGCAATAGAAAATCTTAAATTTTGGGTAACGTTGGGCATATTATAAAAAACAAAGGAACGAATATGCGATATTATCTAACATTTTACTAGTATTTTGGTAACTTTTAATCATTTTTTACTGGTTTCATGACTAATTCATATATTACAAACAAAAAATAAGAAGAAAATTAGTTACAAAGTTTTTAGAAAGATCAAAGGCCAATTTTCAGTTGATATATTTACGTTTCCACTATTTTCCATTTGTAAAGATAGCAGGCCAAGTTTTTTGCTAGGAAATCTAGGAGCGAAAACATCAGCGGCTGATATCCTTTCACTGGGCACAAACTTTTATGTGTCGGGAAAAATAAAAGAAGGACAAATTGAATGTTAAAGGCATCGTCTCGTTCAAAATAAAATCACTCGAGAAAAGATTGCTGGAGTGAAAAAAATAAGTGAAAATACTGGAAAATATCCACAGGGATTTTGTACGAATCCAATAAGGCCCTTGCAAAAAACACTACAAAGAAATGTCTGAATTAATTTTGATTTTGGTAAGCCTTTTAGGGAATTTCAAAATTGAAATTTTTTCGTTAAGGTTCAATGAATCTATAAGTGGTTGAAAGGTATAAAGATTTTATTGAAAGAAATAAATCAAGTGTTAAAAATTATGTATTTAATAGTTAACAACAATTTTTTTATTTATAGAAGTAAAATTACTTTTTTCGTAAGTTTTAGATTGATTCCTGTTTCCGTCTTTTGACACATTCTTCTTCGAACTTCTTAATGTATCATGTATTATTCCAAGATTACCTTAGAGTTCATTTTATGGCAATAATTTAGACACTTTAAGCCTTTGAAGGCTGTTAATGTATAATTATTGTATAACTAGATATTTTACCGTCACCATGCTACAGGGGATCAAATCGATTGCATCTACAATCACTGCACTAAAGGTTTTCTGTGTTCATCCTACTTTAGGCTACGACGACAACAGAATAAGACTTTAATCTGTTTATTTTTCTACTACTAAACTTTCATAACAAATAAATCACTTTTGGAGAGTCACTGAACTTTTGGCATAAGTCGTCTTATGAAGTCGACCTACATGTAAAAACAACTTAATCGGAAAGCTCGAGTTTTATATTATACTTTTTACCGATCACCAAATTCGCCGCCAAATTTTTGGTGTTAACAATATTTTCAAAAAAAAAACAAAAATTAAATTTTTATTGCGGTTATTTATCTGTAAGATAAATTATTATAGATTATTGATAAGAAATACTAGAGTAAGAATCAATTCTTCTTCTTCTTTATGTGCCCTCTTCTACCGAAGGTTGGCGACCATCATACGATAGGTTTCTCTGTTTTGTGCCGCATGAATTATGTTCGCAGCTTCTGGTATTTGAAACCATTCTCTCAAGTTTCTCAGCCAGGATTTCTTCTTTCTGCCCAAACCTCTTCTACCTTCAATCTTGCCTTCCACGATAAGCTGTAGCAGACTGTACTTATCATTACGGAACACATGGCCCAGGTATGACGCTTTCCTCCTTTTAACAGTTGTTAACAATTCCACCTCTTTACCCATCCGTTTAATACCTCTGTGTTAGTCACTCTGTCTGTCCAAGGTATTCTCAGTATGCGTCGATACAGCCACATTAGAATCCACAAGAATCAATTAAATACAGAAAATAACAGGATACCACGGATTACAACCGGTAACAATAGTGCTGATGGCATAGTACTAATAGCAGCTTACAAGAATAAAATGCAGAAACTAATGGATATATGGGTAGCACAAATGGAAGATCCAAAAATGGAAATTAACGAGGAAACAAGTAAGATAATGATAATTAGCGGCAAAGAAGATATAAGGAAGATAATGAAATAAAGTTAAAATGTAAAAACTTGGAATTGGAAATAGTTACAACTTACGAATACCTTGGAAGTCTTATTACTAACGACGGAAAAATAGACTGGAGAATAACAAATGGAGCAAAGAAATCAAGTTATATTATGTGTTAGCCCCGTTACTGGGAATAATAACTTACATGAGAGACAAGGATAAAACCACACATTTAGTGACTTTACTCATTTATACGTGGTAACCGCATTGATTTTTAGAAAAAAACGACAAATAAAGTGGACATGGATTAGTCACAATAGTGAAACTAAAAACGAAATTGATTATATTCTTTCAACGAAAAAATCTATGGTTAAAGACGTAACAGCCCTAAATCGCTTCTCAACTGGTAGCGACCATAGACTAGTTCGAACCAAGTTGATTATTGGTAGTAGATTTGAAACAAGAAAGAAAATGGAAAATAATCGGAAATTAGACATGGAAAAACTAAAACAAGAAAAATAGGCGTATGAAGAGGGAATAAAGAAAATATTGCAGACCAAGGAAAAAATAAAACACAAACATATCGATGAAATAAACATGATATTTACTGAAACTCTAATGAAAGTGGGTAAAGAACTAGCACAGACAACAAGAAAAAAAATCATATCCCAGGAAACAAAGATTCTTATGAACACACAAGAAGAACATTACTAGAACAAAGGGAGAGAAATAAAATGGAATAGAAACCAAAACTAACAAAAGTAACTGTCAATAATATTAGAAATGCCGACGATACCTTAGTCTTTGCTAATTGCGGAGAAGACCTTCAAAATCTAATGAACAAAATAAAACAGACTTGTGATCAGTATGGATTAAAACTCAACGTTAAGAAAACTAAATATATGATAGTTAGCAAACAAAATTATATACAGGATGACGGTATAAAAGTCGTAGATGCCACACTGGACAGAGTAGAGAAACTCGTGTATCTCGGCAGTAATATTAACGAGAGCTGTGATCCAACCGTAGAAATTAAAAGCCAAATAGAAAAAGCCCGAGCTGCCTTTGTAAAAATGAGAAACGTACTTTGCAGTCACGATCTTAGCATTGACCTTAGAGTTCGAATGGTATGGAAAATCAACTACATCGTTATTTAGAGCTGCTGACAATAAAGTCACGATAGCGAATATGATAGCCAACATTATATCCAACGATCTATAACGGTTATGGAACTAGAAGAAGAAGAAGTTAAATTAAATAAAGAAAATCATACCGGAAAAATAAAGAGAAGGATACGGTTGGCTTGGGTATCCTTCGGAAAACTTTCCTATATACTAAAAAATAGAAAATACTCCCAATATTTAAAAACAAGAGTCTTCAACCAATGTATACTTCCTGTTCTTACCTATGGTTCTCAAACTTGGACATTTACAAAGGAAAACATAGAAAAAATAGCAAATACCCAAAGAGCCATGGAAAGGCAAATGCTGAACATCAGGCTATCGGACAAGAAAAGAAATACTTGGATACGCAACATGAAAACAAAAGTGACCGATGTATCAACGCAGATAGCAAAACATAAGAGGAAGTTCGCTGGATATACCATAACACAGAAAGACCACAGATGGAATAAGATGATTATACACTGGAGACTGTATAGTATAAAAACGAAAAAGAGGAAGACCACAAATGAGTCAGATGACCTAAAGAAACACGCAGGCCCGAAGTGGATAAAAACTGCCTACAATAGAGAGACGTGGAAGAAGGAAGAGGAGGCCTATGTCCAAAATTGGACAGCAAGGGCTGTATAGATAGATAGAACTGCATTGATATTGGACTTACAAATCCAAAACCGTTTTCTGATGTAGCCCAAAAGGGTCTTTTTAGAAAATATATACCTTTTATAAACGATTTTTTTAAATAAAAAATTTTGTTATTCATGGTATACAGCTAACTTCAGGAATTTTATTTTTCTGTTGTATTTTATATCTTTTCTAAGAAGTTATACAGCCCTTTCTGCTTTTGTAATTTATATTCTATTAGTTGCTGACTTTAGAAATATGTCTATGTTGATACAAGTCTTATAATGAAATGTACTATCCAATATTTTAAATTCATCGCACACTTCTCAACAAGAATTTTAGCTTGTGACATTCTGACGAAGTTTCCTATGAGTATAATCTTCAGGTTATACATATTCGTTAAGTAATGTTGATATAGTATAACAATGAATTCCTGTTGTTATGATGCACGTTGATTTATTCTGAGCATAGATGTCATTTCCGGTGAAATTTTCATGTTTAGTTATTTATGCAACGGGGAACATGAAACACAAGCTTAACTTCTAATATGGCATAATATAGTCATTCTAAACAATAGTTTTCATTGGTGGAATTTATTTATTGTTCGTAAAATGTAACGTTGGTATTACAATATATACAAGCAAGAATTTTATTCTATAAATAGATGCATTAAATGCACATTTTACCTGAAATATCTAAAATTAATAGGAAAATCCCAGTAGTTGGCTGTATACCATCGTTTAAAAAAAACACAGAAGTTATAACACTTCACACTTGTATTGTGATATAAAAACACATAGGTAAAACTTTTTTAAAAAAGTGTCGTCAAAATTTATGTACTAGCATAACGTTTTCGATCTGAACAGATCATCCTCAGTGCCTTATGTAATTGAAGCTAACAATGAAGTTATCGCTGAGACCTTCATATATTGGTTTCTCTCTCTCTTGTCGTTTCCTCATTGCTGAGGAT